TTCCCAGAAAATGAAGGAAATAAATAAAGATGGTATTTCTACGTCACTTTGATGGCATAACAACCATTACCATTTCTAATCCTAGGGTAAATGTTTTCAAAATGTGACTCAAAAGGGAGAGGTTTCAGAGAAGAGTTAAAAAATTGTTTAAAAACTCTAGATGGATGAGGGTGTACTAAAATAGATCAGTTTATTTAGCATCTTGCAGACAAGATGAAAAGATGTTTTAATCAGCATCTCTAAGAAAGTGTGAAGGGGAGTGATGCCTGACATTAAACATTTCTTTCATCAATCAAGCATAGACACAAAGATCCCAAAGTTAAATGTTGAATTCAAGCTGTAAATTAGGTGCAAATTCTTTACAAGAATGGTACTTGGCACTGTGAGACAAAGTCAAAGGATATGGTACATTTTCTATCATTTGGAGTCTTTAAAGCTAGATAAAATGTCTTTCTTCAAAATTTGTTTTACTGCTATCATTATTGTTGGGTTAGCTGCAGAAAATAATTTGGTGATTTTTTTATGGCCCCTCTTAAGCAAGAGCTCAAACAGTGATAATTTTCTGTTGAGGCTTCAAAATAGAGGAAATATGATGGTTGTGATTCTACAGCAAAAATAATGATGGGAGATGAAATTATAGCCTCACTGAAGTCCATGAGAAAGTTCCCACTTGCTTTAATAAGAACAAAGTTTAATCTACAATTATAAAATCTTTGATATATTAATTGCACTTAAGATGGGGGTTATATGCAGACTGCTTTACCCATTTTATTTTATTGCTGTTATGCTTACCATTTTATTTTGTAATTCAGATTAGTTTTGAATTAACTTTGTATGATTTACCTTTTTAAACCATCTAGGGGTGTGGTATTCACATATTCTGTGAACAGTGAGAGACACATAAGAGTTTGCAATTGCTATCTCTTTTCAAGTAGTGCAGAACTCTAAATGGAAATGCAAAAATTCTTGCAAAATTTTTGTTTCTTCCTGATTTCATTCGGGTAGGGTCAAATATTTCGTCGATAATTTTTCACAAAAATGGGTGTATACCCTTGCTTGCCTGCGGTGAAGTTGGAAAATGGAGACTTGTACAAATACATTTTCTGTATTGTTCTCAGCCTCAGCTGAGTTCAGGTCAAGATTTAGCCATAAAGCTTCATAACTTAGCTGAGATTATATGGTGTGTGCGCCATTATTTGTGTGCAGCCTCTCCACCACAGTTTGACATATTGTCCAGGCCTGAAAGAGAGAACTGTCTCCACCCTTCTGTGTGGCCTTCTGAGAAGATGAGCAGTGGCTGATGGTAATTGTCTTGAAAGCATAGTGAGAGTTTAGCACAGAGTTTCTTCAGTCCTGAAGAAGTTGCTCTGGTTTAATCCTCCTCAGGAACAAGGAAGGTGTTATAAACTCTGACTCATAACCCCTTGCCAGAAATGGCTTTAAAGCAGGGATGGAGATCTGGACACCTGTTGAGAATGTACATGTGAGGAAGCTGACAGGCAGTCTGAGTCCTGCTGACCATCAGCTTTATTCCACTAACAATCAAAGCATATTGTACATTTCTCTTTCTTTTATTTTTTTTCCTTTTTTTTCCTATATTTTTTCTTTGTAGTAGGCTGATCTACCTTTGTGCAACAGAACATAAAAGTCTCTGATCCAGATTCCATCCTGATTTTACCCCAGGGACATGCAAAGAGGCAGAAGGTATGAATCTTGCACTCAGGATGCAACTACAACAGTTCTTTAAGGTACAATTTAAAGCCTGCTGGAGGCAATGGAAATCCTTTCATTTACTTCAATGGACTTTGGATCAGAACCTCTGCTAGGGAGCTTTTGTCCTTGACTTTCTTCAAAGAAGATTTTACTGATGTGTGAATAGTGTTAATCACCCATGAACACTTGGTAAAGAGTGATCTGGTTTTTATGATATGTAAAATATCCTGCTGAGGCATGAAATCTTCTAATGAAATCAAACAAAGTAAAACTTGCCTTCCATAACCTAATGAAATGTCATGAAATGTCTATTAGAATAATGTGTTTCCCATCTATAAGTCTGGGCTTTTCCTTGCCACAGGTGAACTAATGGAGCCTTGGAGGTGTGCCATGGTTATTTGTATCTGATATTTTACTAGAGGGGAGGGATAGGAATTATTACTATCAAATGTTAATTTTGTCTCCCTCATGGAAATGAGAAAATAAGCATATCTTTCTCCCTGAATTTATGTAATTTGCTTTTTCTGACATGTAAATTGACTGTATATTCTTAACCTTATCCTTGAGAAACCACTGGCAACACAATTGAGAGCTTGTTATTTAATGTATAACTATTGATTTGTCTCCAGTCAGTGAATGTGTAAAACTGGAATATAAAAACTATTTGACAGAGCCTTTGCTACTACCTTCAGTCTTGACTGCCATGGCATGTTAGGAATAGGTGTCACCTCGAGCATCTACAGTGACACCAATTATAACAAAAGCAATTCACACTAAATATTTGTTCTTGAATTTATTTTGTTACCTTATGGACATATAGTATTGTGGATATGTTCATTTCAAATCCCACCTCAAATTCTGATTTTATGTAAATAATCAGTGGCCTCCTGTCTGCCAGCATGAGGTGAAGTCTCGTAGAGTTCACTAATGAGTCTTTTTTCATATTTATATGTAAGTGAAACTCCTGAGAATAATGCTAAAACTCTGATTCACACAGCTCATATGGTACCAATTTATTGCCTGGCTTCACATTTTTTAAATCTCTCTGGCACTACAGGGTTATTACAGTAAGTTAGAAAGACAGGTACTCTAAGTATGAACTTGCTGTTAGGATCTCAAAAATACTGAGTGCTCTTGAATTGAAGCTTTGATGAGAAATAAATCCTTCTTGTGACACTTTTATGCCCTGTAGAGATGTGGAAGTGTGAGCAACAGCACCTGGCAAGCAAGCTGTCTTCTTTAAAAGCAAGCAAACCAGCTGCTCATCAGGTTGGAGAAGGATTTAGCAGGAAATAAAAGTCTACTCAAATGTTCATAGCTCAGATCTGCAAGAGAAAACTCATACTTTATGATTTGTCCTCTGAATACTGAGAAAAACTGTATTTATATCTTCTGTACTTTCAAACACTGTGAGGAGTTCATTTTTGAACAGGAGTAATTTTCATGCGAACAATTAGCAGATTCATTTCTGCCCATATAATTTCTCTCATTTACAGACGGTAAGCAGATAAGTTATTAAATAAACTTATGGAGGTCAAACAAAATTTAATAGAAATAGTCTCTTTCAGGAGAGGAATAGGATCTCTGGATTTGCTTTGTATGGGACCTTTCTTTCCCTATTCTTGCATGTGCATCAGACAGATTATCTCATGTAATAAGTCTCAAAGGAATCTGCTTTGTGGCTACATCAATCAGTTTTAGGCACATTGAATAGATTAAAAGTTTTTTACCCCAGCAGAGCGGCACTAACCAAAATGTTTCTGACTCTTCTAAGTTCTAGGCAGGCAGTGGTCTCATAAAACACTGGGAAAGAATTGTGGGGAATCAAGTTCAGGTGAGTTGATGGAAGGCTGGAACATTTAACTGTGTACATAAATTCCAGCTGGGCAAGGTATCTCTTCTGATCCCTTTGGAATGTAAATTTTTTAGTTTTACAGCTGCCTAAATCAGCCAGCTAAGACTCCATGCCATACTCCCCCAAAATAAAAGCATTTAACATCAGAGGGATGTGGACACCAAACTATAGGTCTTCCTTTATTTCCTTCTAGCTGTAGGAGAAATAAATGCAACAGCATGCAAGATAGACATACACATCAATATATATCCCTCCCAACCTCCAAAAGCCTGAAAAGAGTTTGGATGTACACCTATATATTTTTTAGGTTGTTTGGAATTTTTTAGGTTGTTTGTTATTGTGAATAATTTGGTGACAATTCTACTTCAGTGCATTCAGTGTTATTCTGATTACTGTGAGCCTCAGTCAAATGACATTGTAATGCACTGAAAAGTTTCCTTTTAATACCTTGAAATAGTAATTGTCAGGGATTTATTTTAATATTCAGGTAGATAATACTGTGATGACTACCATCCTTCACCTTTTGGCTTGGTTCCCAAGGAAACGTCTCCTTTTTATATTTCATTTCTTATTGGTTTTGGTTTGCTTCTTCTGAACTAACAAATCCAGATTAATGTCTCCCATCCCCCTGACTCTCCTGCCAACAAAACTGTTCTTATACCCTGCTTACAGTCTCCATGTTTGCAGATGTGACAACCAGGGAATGAAAAGAGAGTTCTGTGGTGACCACAGAGAGAAGGCAACCTGGAAACAGACTGCTTCTTGCAGCACTCCCCTCAGTTATAAACAGCATTAGCCTATCAAAATTTTGTAAACTGTGATATATGGAGAGATGAAGCTCCTACCTGTGCTGTACCAAAACCTAAATAAGCCAGAGGTATGTGCCTTCAACAATATTCTCTGTCCCAGGCTTATGTCACACAACCACTTAGGCATCTGCTCATCTTTGCAAAACAGCTCATGCAATTTCACTGGACTGCAGGGTAAATTTAAATTTAAAGACATCCTCATTTGCAGACTCAGGACTTACAGAACGATATTATTTGCATCAGGCTTCACTACCATTTAAGATGCTGTAGGGTATCCCTCCTGGCTTCCAGCTGCTGCTCCAGAATGGCACAGGTTTATCCTAAGTCCCACATTATCTATCAGCCCAGATGTCTCTGATGCCCTCAAGCATCTACAGTGACACCTGTATTAGCCCAGCTGTCATCACACTAAAATGAGGATTTCAGAACAACATGAGTCGATGCAACAGAGGGAATGAATAGCTTTTATTATTCATTCCCTCCCTCTAGGAATGTGATCTGCAGGCAGAATCCCATCTACTGTACTTTTTATTTTCTAAATAGCCCCAACCTTTTCAGAGGACTGGAGACCCATCAAAAAACAAAACGCTGCAAGATACACGTGGTGGAACCGAGCAGCTCACCTGCAGTACGATGTCCCGCCCGTTCCGTGTGACATTAACGGTGTGGGGCTGGCCATTGGCCATGTTCCTGTGGTCAATGTCAATGTTGTATGGCTCTTTGGTGCCCCCGAGGTTGTACCGAATTTGCAGATTCCCTAACGAAAAAGAAAAAATGTGAAAAGCACCCTCAGGTATTCTGATCTTTATTCACTAGCTATTTTCCCGTCTTTATTTTCACATACAGCTGTTATCATTTCACACTTAATTGCTCTCATAGCTGGTCTCTGCTGTAAGAGAAGAGCTCGTGCTTGGGATTATAAAGTTACTGGGCCGAAACTGCCCCTAGTTTATAACCCAGAAGTGAGACAATGACCAGCATTTCCAAACCACAGTGTTTGTAAACACCTCAGACTGCAAACCAAACAAATTGGAGTTATGCCTTGAACAATATGGACAATTGGTACAAAATTGAGCACATCAAGTAACACTTTATTGTTGAGATTATTATTCTTGCTGCAGTAAAATTCTATGAAATTATACGAAGCATAACATTTTCTAAAGAATAAACCATTGACATGCATTGAATAAAGGCAAAATTACAACAAATTAGCACTGACACGTAATTCACACATGGGACTTCCTTGCTCTTGCGTTTAATTGTTGTTGATGAGTGACCGTCTGGACTTCCATGGAAATTTAGTATTATATTGTGAAATAACAACCAGAGGTTACATTGTTGGAAAAGTATTGTCAGGAGTGGCTAATTGATATTCATAACATACTGCCAGACAGATTTTTCTTTTCTAAACAAAAGTGGAGTGTCTGCTCTTCATAATACATTTAAATATTTGATTAAAAGGAGGAATGTTTGAAAAGGGAAATGCAGCCCCCACTCTTGATGAAAAATGGAAATATTCTGGCCCAAAAGAGCAGACTTAGACCTCTATAACTACAGTTTAGTTGTGTGATGTTGGATTTCTCTCATGCACGTCCTTTCTCTCCCATGAAGGGAAAAAAATGAGTGGCGTGTAGAATACTCATATTCTCCCATAAAAGAGAACAGTAGTAAAATCATCCTAATTATGATTTTCATGGGGCACTAAGGCACTATTTGGAATCAAAGTATATTTAGTTCATATAGTGTTTTAATACTGTAGCAGCAAATGGTCCATATCCAACCTTCATCCATCACCAAAATGTTTAGGACGTTATATACTATACTACATCCATATTTTACCTCAATGAGTATCCAGATTTTCAGAACAGTGCATGACACTTTCTACTGACTACTAGGGATATTGCCAGTTCAGCTATTCAGGTGCCTTCATGTGGATGTCTACTTGTCCCCACCTTAACACTGGCTCATGGCATGGGTCTCATTGTTATCGCAGGTTTTTGGTCTCTTTTGTTTGGTTAGTTTTGTTTTGTGAGAGAGGGTTGGCTGAAGAAACATCACTAAACTGAACAGCTACATCAGTACCAGATCTAGTAGAAGCAAAATGAAGGTTCAGGTTTCCAAGTGCTTTACTTTAACGTGACAAGGATGAAGAGACTTTCTCATTAGTTCAGAGCTTCCCCTGACTATCAGCCTGGTATTGTCAATTGTGCCTTTGGCGGAGAGAGCCCGGAGCAGTTTCTTACCCGTGGGGTTCACAAGCACAGCCATGAAGTCTGGAGTGTAGGAGCTGACATAAAATAAGACACAAGGGGACTTGGTGGTGCTGAAGCTGAAGCTGAGCTCTTCCTTGCTCAAGCTGAGGTCAGGACCTGTGATCTCAGGATCTGCAGAACTCAAAAGCGTCCGGCTGACTAAATCCTTCATGCTAGTCCCCGGGGAGTGGAAGTTGTAACGAAGCCACATTCCTTCTTCAAAAAATGCTCCCACATCTTGAACACAACAGGAAAAGGAGAATGAAAAGAAAAAAAGGTAAATTAAATGTGCCAACACCTTTTGGTTGAAACATATTACTGTGAATTGATCAGTACTTATCTGCGCACATTTCTACTGCACTTCTATTTAAGCACAGCATTTAGGTAAGGAGCCTCACTATTTTCCTATGAGAATGAAAAGAACAATCTCCATTTTATTGGTGGGTACTTGGATTCACAAAGCAAAGGAAATATTTCCTTTGGGGGACACAGAAAGCTTATGCCTATATCTCAAATCAACACTACAGACAAGGATAATTATGATTTAAATTTATTCTCATTGAAATTTTGAGGCAGATAATGCTTCAAAGAGGGAGATACAAGGAAGGGTAGCTTAAATGACACAGTAAACAAACAACAGCCAAGGAAAAGGAAAAACAGCAGTTCTGACCACCAAAATTGAGTGGATTTGGAAGAACCTCCCAAAGGAATTATGACAATTCCAGTCCCTAAAAGGACTGGACACAATGCTTGTAAGTTATCCACTACTAGCACAATCCTTCATGAGAGCTCCACAACAAGGATGCCCTTATGGGAGATGAAATTAACTAGGGAGTTTGACTCAGCTGGGAACAAGAGGCAAGAGATACCTGAAATGTAGATGCCAGGAGGTGCTATAGTTTTCAAACCAATTTGAGACAAGATGTGGTGTTCCAACACTCGTGATAGAAAATACACCTCCTTTTGACAGAATTAATACTTTCAGCTGAAAAAGCACTAGTAGTGCTTCCCATAATAATGCAGTCCTGCCTCTTCCTCAATATTGAAATCATAATTCCAGGCTGCTGTTCTTGCAGCAATGCTGACTTTGATAACCTTCTACAGGAATTACTGCACATTTGCCCACCACTGATATCATCTACTCCACTGGGGATCACTTGACTGACTTCCTTTGGCAATAATTTATTTAGAGACATGGTGGTACTGGATCAGCTGTGCTGTCTGGGTCAATATTGTGAAAGGAAATTTTTAAATGATATGTGAATCTGATTAAGAAGGTATGTTTATGAACATTTTGTAAGGTATGAAATAATGATTAAAATATTATAATCATAACATGGGTATTGTATTCAAAGAAGGGCTGTAAGAAATACTTAAGGCCATAAACAGTCTTTAAAAAAAAAGTCTTTCATTGTCAACTACCTTTCTACATGATGCAAAGTTGCCACAGTTTTGTGCAAAATTGCCCATCTAAACAAGGAAATTATTTTTATTCCATTTTAACATTTTGAGTCTTCACACAATCCTAAGCAAAGGCTTTATTTCAAAACACATGTCAGAAGATGCTTATTTTTGAAGCTTTACACAGAAACAAAGCAAGTCGGGAACGAGCCTGCAGAATTAATTCAGAGTAGCTGAGCAGAGAATAGGTAAAATTATAAAATTATATTGATGATTCTTTCCAGAATTTTGCTAAATCTAATGCTGGAAAAGCTTTATGTTTTCGTGCTGTCATATAAAAATTCTCCCAAACTCAAAATATCACAGTTGCTGTCACTGAATGGACATATAAAACACAGAGCCAAGCTATGGTCCTGAGGTGCTATAAATAATTTGATCATTCTGATGGATTTATAACTGCAATTTTATAGGGGAAAAGTTAAATCATCCTGAAAAAGTTATGGGGGAGGCAATTTCATTTAACAACTATATTTTGCAGTAGTCTCAACTTTAGTGTTCCAGGATTAAAAGTGAAGGGCTCTGTCATGGAAAACTTCCCCAATTCACGATGCCCTCTGCCACTAACAGCGGTGTAAGAAAAAAGTGTTAGCATGCAAAAATCTAAAGCAGTAGCTCCAAGTATCTGCAAGGTGGGTCTAAAAATATCCCTGTGACCACTAATTTATTCTCCAGCTCCTGCTTCTGGTTGACACAAGCTGCTTCTGGGGCAGGTGCCCTATCAATTACACTGGCAGAGCTGCGGGCCATGCCGGGTCCTGCCGCTGCCACTGCTGGTGGCGACTGCAGCCCCCGTGGAGGCTCCACACACGCACTCTGCACACTGATGCACAATTATGTTTGCCTCCAGCCTGCTTACTGCTTGTCATGCCTTTCATTTGAGAAGTAATCTTTGGAATTGCCTGGCGCTGTGCTTGCCCAGGGCCTCGCGCTCTGGGGATACTGGGACCTTCAGTCCTGACCTCAGCACTGCTCTGGGGCTGAACTGGAAAGCGTGTGAAGCATTTTTTCCAGAGCTGTAAATGTTATAAATTGCTATGTTAAATGTTCATTACTACAAAGAAAGCTTTAAGTAAATGGTGCTCTCTGAAATGGTATTCAGATTATTCTGCAGTTTTGTGAGGTGAATTTGATCATCCTTGTGGGTCCCTTCCAACTCTCGATACTCTGTTCTGTGACTTTTTATTCCAAAAGGGTTTCACGATGGAGCAAAGAATGTTCTGTATGTTTAACTTGATTTGTGCTGAGAAAATAATTTTCAATGTAGCTCTATTATTACAGGCATACAGGGTATTGTAATAAACCTTGAAATTCTCCTCACATGCACATCACCTCTTTTAAAAGGCAGGATAAGAGGAAGGTTCACTTTGGCTTTGTGAGTGTATTGGGCCCTCAATAGGAATATATTGAATTCTCTCAAGTTCCAGCTCATCAAAGAGGCTGATGCACATGATTATGCACTTTAGTGAAAGAAGCTGAAATCCTTGCAGCAGGACTGCAAAGTGCTCAGCAACTCACAGGAGCAGGTTGCTTAAACTATTAGGATGTACCAAAATAGCTAAAACATAATTTTCCCTATCTTGAATGCAGGTATATGATGACTTGGAAATGCCAAGGGCTGACCTACAAAAAAGCTACCTATTTTTTAGGTTACAAGTGGTGACCTTGAGGTTTACACTTGAGGTCACAAGTGTAGCATCTTCCTGAAGTTGCCTCAGAAGGAGTATGGAAGTCCCTCACCCAGAAAACCATGCAAGCTCCCTGAATAAAGAGGGTCAAATGCAGCCCAAATCCTGCTGCTGAAAGGTGAGGGAAGTTTCCATGCACAACTCTCTTTTCTTCTGTAATATTTGAAATGCTATCTGAACAGATGACTCTTGGGACACCAGGCATAAGGCACAGTAAAGATTGCTCTGCAAATCGCCCTTTCAAGGCAGAGACCTTAGGGAAATGAATATGGTGCTAACAGATCTATTTTCTTCAGAAAATAATACCTATTTTTACACCAACATACAGTGCAGTCACTTTCTGTTGACAGACTTCTCAAATATAAACACTTTGGGCTGGCTTTGTAGAGGAACCCAGAACAGGAATTGTGGATTGTTAGAAACAATTTTATCAAGCAAGGTGAGTGTCCCCAGTGTGAATGGCACATATGTTACAAAATTATCCAGCTTCAATTTGGAAAGGTGATCCAAAACTTCCACAGAAAATGTACATGTACCCAGAACTGACAAAGTTATTTTGAAGGTCATGATTATTTGGTCATCACCACATTCTCCCTCTCCCCACTCAGCTACTTTTATTTTTGTACCCTCTTATTCTGTCTGAGATCAGGAGTATTGAAAGACTGGAGGAAAAAGCCAAACAGCAACAAAAATCCCCATTTCTCCTACAAAACTTGCAAAGTCTCATTACTTTTCTGGGCCGGTGATGTAGACCTAAGAAAATGTAAGTAGAAATCTGATTCTCCTCTACAGCTTTTTACATCAGTGAAATGCCAGTATTGGTTCTTCTGTTCTTAGGTAGTGATAATGATCCTGTGAGCCATACAGACACGTAGACAACTTGTCTTCTTTCTCCATAACCTTTTTCTCACCTTTGAAAAACCCTGCCAGCATGGCACAGGTGTGGCTGAACACAACTTCAGCAAGATTTTCTATCCAGGTGCATATATTTAACAGATACAGAGCTCAGCAGTCTTTGTAACAATTGGGTTTGCTCTATGCTGACAGCTGGGATGGAAATGTTAATAGGAATTGTAATGAATCAAATACCAGATATTATTCCTAATAAATAAAGAAGCTGCAGATCTGTGGAGCTACCAAAAAAAAACCCCAAACCAAAATTCCAACCTCCCCAATTTAAAGACGGGACCTTTTCAAGGGTGGCATTATAAGAAGTGGAATCTCCCTTCTTTAGTAGCACAGCTCTCACTGACCCAAGCTGATGACTCAAATTCTCATAGTTTTCTAAGTACACTGGATCAGATTTCTGTCACCTTTTACCTGGAAACCAAGGAGGAAGTAGTGCTGGTTATTCACTTAATGGACATAACAGGGCATATCTGCCTTACAAAAGGTGGAGACAAAATCCTGGCAATTACAAAGCCTGGCAAGGATGTGAGAAATGGAGAAGGAAAAGACTCTCTCCTCTTTGTTACACAAAGCTGACTTCTTGCAGCTGTCCCATCTGGGGCTCCTAAATGCCTCTTTGGCCCTACTCAGACTCAGTAAGTTAAAATTATTACTCTGTGACGCTGCTTGCCAGTGCTCAATGCTATGTCTTCCCTGCATGGAGTTCTGGATGTGAAAAGCATCTTTTCCAAAATCCTAAGCAAGGACAGTCACTGGAGACATTCTAACACTTGGTGCATTTACAAAGATTCTTCAGACAAGGTAGATGGTTGAATAAACCCTCTTTTGTTTTGCATAATTTCCTTTCTGTTTTTTTTTTATTATTATTTTACATGTAGTTATGAATATTGAATATAGATTAACCAGAGCTTGCTTGTTCATCTTATGGTAAAAATTGTGCTTGGGAGCACCCAAAATTACAGGTCTCAAAGACTAAGACTTGTTTGCTGAGGTACCTTCTGGCCATAGGGCATCATTAAAGGGTCGGAATCTCACAGCTGTTGATCTGGGAGAGAATTTGAGGGCCCTGAAGGTGATAATGCTTACCATTCGTCTGGTTAGCTTACTCAACACTTTATTCTACCTTCAGGCACATTTAGTATGTGATATCAAGAAGTGGGGATTTAAAGCTGTTGCTCTACA